ACTTCTTAGAGATGTGCCCCTGGGTTTGCAGACTTTCTTGCTTTTCTTCTCTCCTGGTTTGCATTGCTGCTGACTCTTTCTGTCTGGTTTTTGTTGTTGTTGTGCTCCACCACGTAGGCTCTAGGAGAGCTTTTATTTTCTAGCATTTGCTTTAACCTTGTCAGACGAGTAAGCGAGCGCTGAAAGGCAGGTTTCCAGGCCAGCCAGTATCCTTCACAATGAAATTCTTGTACTAGCTGGGTACAACTTGTATCATTTGATGGATTTAAAACAAACCAAACCAAAAAAAAGACTTTTTTTTCCCTGCAGAAGCGCCGCAAAAGGAGTGTGAACGTCTCTGTGCAGTTCCCAAAGGGAGCACAAAGTTCTCCTGAGTGTTACCTGCTGAGCTTAAACAACTGCTAAGGAGTGTGAACGTCTCTGTGCGGTTCCCAAAGGGAGCACAAAGTTCTCCTGAGTGTTACCTGCTGAGCTTAAACAACTGCTTCCTAGAAAGCCCTGTCCCCGTGCCAGGCTGGCACCGTGCTCAGGTGGTTGTGAGAGGGCAATATCATGCCGACCTCACAAAGCAATCCCTGGGTGCTGTTATTAGGGACGTGCACGTTGGCAGCAAAGGCTCCTGTTTGCAGTGAGAAAGGGAGAAATGTGAACGATAATTTAGCAGATTCTGCATCTTCATAGAATCATACAATGGTTTGGGTTGGAAGGGACCTTAAACACCATCCAGTCCCACCCCCTGCCCTGGGCAGGGACACCTCCCACCAGCCCAGGTTGCTCCAAGCCCCCTCCAACCTGCCCTTGAACCCCTCCAGGGATGGGGCAGCCACAGCCACACATCAGGCTCTCACCACCCTCACAGAAAAGAAGATCTTCCCCACATCTCAGCTCAATCTCCCCGTTTGGAGTAGAAAACCATTCCCAGTTCTCATCCTATGGCTCCCCTCCCTTCTGCTTCGCTGGGAGGGAGGTGGGTACAAGGGGTTCCCCCCTTGGCACCCGGCCGGCAGGTGAAGTTGCTGGTGATCCCAGCTCAGTACCAGTTTGCCATGTGTTGGAAGCAGAGCACATCTGGTGTAACTGGCAGTGGGCCTGGCTTGGAGCATCTGTGAGGCTTCCGTGCTGGTAACTGGAAGGGATAGACCTCTGGCAGCCAGCGTGAAGTCTTGTTGCTCCAGGGAAGAACAGACATTATGAGGAGTGTTGAGACGGTGGGGATTATGTAAAGGCACAGAAAATAGAACACCCTTCCCCATCAACGGTGCCTATTTCAGTGTGTCTGACACCAGGAAAAGAGCTTTTCTTTCCCAGGGGCTGAGCATCGGGTGAGAGAGCAGCCAAACCAGCCTGGTGTGAGTGGAGAGAGCATAAACCCTGTGAAGATGGACTTTTCTCCTCTCTCACAGGTCTTCCAGTGGAATTTTCTTCCACTCCTGGTTGTCAGAAGGAAAGCAGTGCTGGTTTTTGTGGTTAGGGACAAGTGTTACAGGACAGTTGACATCTGGGTGGCCTCCTCTTGGAGTGATCCGTGGGAAGGCAGTGGGATTTTCCAGGTATTTGCTCCTTATCTGACCTGCTTGGAGGCAGTGCTGGCAGAGAGGCTGTGAAATCGATGCTCTTTACCCCTTTTGCAGGCGTCCTTCGTCATGCAAATTCACTTTCTTACCCTTTTTCTCCCTTTTTGAGGTGTGCGGTCTCAGTTGATACGGGGGAGAGCAGGGTGGGGACCGGGTGCTAATTTACATGGGAGAGACTAATTTACAAAGCAAATAATTAGCACGGCTGTCTTGAGTGTGATGGGGAGACAACGCAGGGTGACCATGGGGGTTCTTCACTGGGGGGTCTGGGATGGTGCCCTGGTCCAGGATGGTGCCTGGCTCCATGGAGTGGGCATGGTGGGTGCTGCAGCCCCGTCCCTGCGGGCAGAGGAGGGGTATCTCAACACCTCAACACAGAAAGGACATGGACCAGCTGGAACAGGTGCAGCGGAGGGCCACAAAGATGATCAGAGGGATGGAGCACCTCTCCTATGAAGACAGGCTGAGGGAGCTGGGATTGTTCAGCCTGGAGAAGAGAAGGCTCCGGGGAGACCTTATAGCGGCCTTTCAGTATCTGAAGGGTGCCTACAGAAGAGCTGGGGAGGGACTCTTTGCCAGGAAGGGTAATGATAGGACAAGGGGAAACAGTTTTAAATTGGAAGAAAAAAGATTCAGATTAGATATCAGAAAGAAATTTTTTACTATGAGGGTGGTGAGACACTGGAACAGGTTGCCCAGGGAAGTTGTGGATGCCCCATCCCTGGAGGGGTTCAAGGCCAGGCTGGATGTGGCCTTGAGCAACCTGCTCTAGTGGGAGGTGTCCCTGCCCAGGGCAGGGGGTTGGAACTGGATGATCTTTGAGGTCCCTTCCAACCCAAACCATTCTATGATTCTATGATTCTATTCTATGATCTCGGGGAAGGTTGGAGATCTCCGTGGCAGGGAGCTGGGTCCAAAACCTTCTGTGGTCAGCGGGATGGTGTCCCTTGACCTCAGTGATGAACGACGAGCACAGGAATAGCCGCCGTGCGTGTGAGGGGTGAGCTCTGAGGAGGGTTTTCCGTCATGCAGCCGGCGTCACGTGCGTGTGACACGAAACACGAGAGCCTTCCAGGCTGCTCCGTGGCCCTCTCCCAACAGCCGGCGCCTGCTGCCAAAGGGATTTACTCCGGTTACACCAGCTCTCCCAATTATCTCCCCTGACAGGGAAGAAAACTTGTTCAGTGATGAGAAATCATTACAAATTACAAGCTTTGTGAGTTTGGGACGACCGGAGCCCCTAAACGCTGCCCGGTTGAACATTTCTGTCTGTGCTCTGCGTGATAAATAACAGCTGACTTTTCCATCGCTAGGCAATGAATCGCTGTGGAGGCAAAACCAGAAAGGAGCCCCAGTCCAGAAAGGATTCCCAGTCCAGCTAGGAGCCCCAAGGAGCGAGCTGTGGGAGGAGAGACGCGTACTAACTCCACTGGCCTGTAGTCTGTCTTCCCCTCCTTGCTAACAAATGTCAACAACTAGGTAATGTCCTTCCTCTCTTCTTTCTGACACGAGCCCAGGACTTGGGGGTTGAGGTGCAGAAACAGCAGGTTTTCCCCTCCTCTGTAGATAACAGTGTCTCGAAGGATAAGCCACGATCCATGTAAAATTTAGTATCTGTCGGTGGAGACTGGAAAATGTGAATCTCATTCCAAAAAACAGACCGTGACTGAGTAAAACCAGGCAGAGAGGATGCGGAGAAGGAGCTGGTGTAGACCCTTGTGCAGTCACAAGAGATCGAAGTCGGGGCTGTAACCTGGGAACAGGGCTTGAAACTGGGAGTATTTTATTTCCTTGTGAAGTTTTGGTGATGGGTTGGGGAAGCGCCGCACACATTTGTCTTTGGATTGATGGGAAGGTCTGCTCGTTGCAGCTGTGAGGACTTGGAGTGGGGAGAAAACAGAAATGCCTGGATTTTGGGGGCTGGCACGTGGCAGGGCTGTGACTGCGCCTCGTTCACAGCTGTCCTGGGGCTGTGGGGTGTTTCCACTCACATCACATTTCACGAGGTTTGGGTAAGGAGTGTGGCAATGGCCACTGCCTTGGATTTGAACCAAAGACCCCAAGCCCTGATGCACCTGGACTGTCGTGTCATGGAAACATTCCTTCCTGCCTCCTGAAACGCTCGAGTTACATCCTGGAGCCTGAGATTCAACTCCTTATTTCAGCTCAGACACTGCGGGTTACGGAATCCGGGCAGCGTGTGGTTCGGTGCTTTTCTTGCAGCAGCTGCACATTGTGTGGTGAAGTGTTTCCTTTAATTCATTGTTAAGTGACTTGCTTTTAATCCTGGGATGTGACCTCTCGCCACAGGATGCGCTTCCCAAGCGTGAGTCAAGGGAGGAAGAGCTGTGCTGAGGGGAAGGCGCTTTTTGTGCTCACATCCCAAGCACATCCTCCATCCCAGCCCTTTCCCTAGAGCTCCAGCTCCGAGACATCCTATGAAATACAAACTAATACAGCAGCCAGAGAAATCATGTACCTGGTGAAGTCGCCATGGGCTGACCACTGAGGGGTGGTGAAAGGAAGCTTCAGGTCAGGCTAAAAATAATATAACCCCTGATCGTTAGCATAGCTCTGCCACACTGGCTGTGTTGTGTAGGGCCACCTGGTGTGTCCCAAACATGAGACTGTGGTGTCCTCTTTGTGCTTCTGCTTGCAAGCTGCATGCCTGTCCTTGGTTGAACGTTCATATAAGATCTCCTAACCTGAGGGCATAGTCTGTTATTGCTGGAATGACCAGGCTGTGGTCTTCAGAAATATCTGAACACTGCAGAGGAGGACAGAGAAGCTCTAAAGGATGGTAAAAAACCTCTACCTGTAGTTAAAACACCCTTAATAGCTTCAGTTATTGTGCCAAGGGTATTTTCACAGACCGGGGTCAGTAGTGTGCAGTGAAAGCTGCCGTCTTTGTGCTACCTGGATGGTGGGCAAAAGGAGGCATAAACAGCCGTGGGCTTTTATTTTGTGGGAGCATCATCCAGTGGTCCCCCAGCTTCTAAAACGGGTTTTAGAAGAGTGCCAAGGATGTGGAGAGCACAGAGGTCTTGGAAAAGCAGCTCACAGGAACAATGGAGAGCTTGGGTTGTGACTCCCTTGATAAGAAGGGGCAGTAGCTGATACCAGACAGCGGGGAGCTGCTGGTCCCTGCGCAGAGGCTCAGTGAGGGGCTGCTGGAGAGATGCTGCATCCCTGGGGGCTGCATCCCTCAGCACCTCCTGTCTCCATTCCCCGGGGAGGAGGTGAACAGCAGAAGTGCTGCTGGCGGTGCAGAATGCGCAATCCCCAGGGAGGAGGCGAATAGCAGAAGTGCTGCTGGCGGTGCAGAATGCGACACGAGCGCCAGGAAATCATTGCACTTTCCACCCTTCCCCGGTTGCTCAGCTTCCCCTCTGCCCTGACAGCCCCGTTCCTTCCTCTCTCTTGCAGGGAGCAGCCCATCTTCAGCACCAGGGCCCATGTTTTCCAGATTGACCCTGCCACCAAACGGAACTGGATCCCGGCCAGCAAGCACGCCTTGACCGTCTCCTACTTCTACGATGCCACACGCAACGTCTACCGGATCATCAGCGTGGGGGGCACCAAGGTAAAGGGGGGCACATTTTGCTGACAGCATCACGCAGATCCACGGTGGGTTGTTGTTTTTTTTTTCCTCCAGCCACAGTCTGTTTTGATGTCGATATTTCTTTATTTTGGTGTTGAGTTGGTCAGTTCTCAGCACGGGCTCACCCCAGCGTCTTCGCTGCAGGGAATGGAGGGTGAAACGCTGCCTCCCTGCTCAAGTGTGTTTGATGTTAGACACTACAATCTGTGCTGATGAAAAATGTGCCCTACGGCCCGTCCTTCCCCACCACACTCTCCTCTCCCCCCCTGCCCCACCGATCATGCAAAACACAAGCTTTTTCTGAGAGCCTTTACCCTGTGCTAAAACCAGCCCCTGTAGACAGAATGAAACGACAGACAGAGGCTGAGGGAGCCTCAGAGGTACAGTCGCTTCCACAAAACACCATTAACTCTCCCTAAACTGTTCTTGATAGGCATTTTCCTGACTTGGTCTTGAAGAGCTCCAATGGCAAAGATTAATCAGTCTTCCCAGGAAATTCGTTTTGCTGCTGCCCTACCCAGCAGAGAGTGCTTTGTAATAGCTAGTCCTGATTGCTGTTTAAACCTTTTTTTCTTTTCTTTCTTTTTCTTCTTACTTGCCATGAAAATGGAGAAAGTTGAAAGTTGTTAAGTCCCCAGGGACATGCTGTCTCTTACCTTCTTTTCCAACAACGGAGGAAGCTGATGATACTGAGGCTTTTTCTTTTTCAGTAGACAAAATGACTGAGATTTGTTGATGTCACGTAGCCAGACTAGAAAGACTTCTGGTCACCAGAACTGTTGTCTGGTGGAAAGCTCTGGCTTTTAATCTATCCCTAGTTCCTAGAGTACACATGGATTATAGTTATCAATCCCCCAGGGCAGCGGGTTGGAGTTTTCTCTGCCTCTCACTGTTCCCTCTCTCTGCAGGCAATTATCAACAGCACTATTACCCCCAACATGACCTTCACAAAGACCTCCCAGAAGTTTGGACAATGGGCAGACAGCAGAGCCAACACGGTGTACGGCCTGGGCTTCGCTTCCGAGCAACACCTCTCCCAGGTAACGCTGCAGGTGCTGGCAGAAACCTGGGTCAGCCTCTGCTAAAATCTACCACGAGATGCAAAGATGCTGGGAAGAGTTTTAAAGTAATATTTGCAGAGTGTTTTGGGCATCCTAAATTGAATTAGGACTTTGGGCTCTGTTTCTGTCACTGCTGTTTAGCTAACCCTGCAGCCCTCGGTGCCACAATCGTGGGCACTGGCAGGAAGGGGCCATTCCCTGAATTTTATTGTTAGTTGATGAGAAATTAAAAAGCACGTTGAACGAAGTTGCAAAGGGAAGAGTGACCCAGATGTCAATTCTAGTTTGTTCCGCATTTTGGGGTGGCACTGGAGTGACTTTTCCACTCCCCTCTAGTTTGCAGAGAAGTTCCAGGAAGTGAAAGAAGCCGCCCGTTTGGCGAGGGAGAAGTCCCAGGATAAAACAGAGCTGACCAATCCTGCCCTGAACATCACATCTCACCAGGTAACGCTCCCTCCAGAGCAATGACAGCGAGGGAAAACGGTCTCTGTGCTCATCTCCTCTAGTAACTTCTTGCTTTCACCCCTTTTCCCCCCTGAGAGCTTTCTCTTCTTGCCAGACACTGAGGTTGGAGCTCACAACATCACACTTTGATGACACCTGTGGCCCTGAGGTCACTCTACTGAAACACATGAAGTAGATGAACTAATTAGTGTTTAAGTGGAGCTCCTGGGAAGGTTCACACTCCTCCCTCTTTGCCAGTTAAACTATCAAAACCATTGGATGTCTTAGAAAGCCATGCTGGAGGAGTGGGGTTTTTTGTGGTGGTGGTTGGTTTGGTGGTTTTTGGTTTGTTTCTTTTTTTTCTTTAGAGCTGTTGGCTCCCCCTGGTCTCAGTGTGACAGTAACAGGCCAGCAGCAGGTAGGAGTGTGTGTCACTGGGTTGAAGATCATAGGAGGAAAGACACATGGCATTTCCAACCGTTTTTCTTCCTTTTGTGGTGCTGCAGGGGGTTCTTCTCCAAGTGTCTCTGATAGCTGATGGTGCTGTCCATGGAATGACAAAGTGATTTCTTAGAGCTGGCCCGCCTTCTTCTTTTTCTGTCATATTTCCAGTGTGGAAGAGAAGCTGTGCTGTGAGAGTAGAAATCACACACCCCCCTTGGGAACTCTCCCCTGCAGTAGAGCTGCATGTGTGACAGCCACTTATTCCATTTTCTTTCCCCCAGGACACCAAGCCAGAAAGTTTAAGCCCATCACAGATCATTCTCATGTGTGTTGCACTTGCAATCCTTCCCTTTCTCCCCCGTGTAGCTAAACCAACTCCAGCAGTGGTGGGATGGAGGGGAGAGGAGGAGCTGTGGAGAACTCTACCTGCTCTTCCCCATGGTGAAGCTGTTGAGTGCTTGACGGTGAAGTTGCCCTCCCAAATAGTTCCCTCCAGAGGTGACTCTGCATTTCCCAGAGCTCCTGGCAGCAGGAGAGGAGCTGGAGGATGGAGGACAGTGCGTTCTCTGGGTTGGGTACAGATGGAGTGGCAGCAGAGGAGGAGGAGGGAGTGTGAACAGTACCTTGGCCTGCAGGGAAAAGAGGGGGAGGTGGAGGCGGTGGCTCTGCAGAGACTGGAAATGTCTCAGGGGGTGCAAAAAATGGGGAAAATATGCCTAGCTTTTGGTTCCTCCTGACTCTTAAGCCCCATCCGATGGGTGGCAAGTGAAGAAGGGAGTAGAGTAGAGCATTAGTAGCAAAACCAAAGTTTTAGGTAAAAGAGGGAGGATGGAGCCAGAGTTTTTTCAGTGGTTCCCAGTGACAGGACGAGGGGCAACGGGCACAAGCTGGAACAGGGGAAGTTCCACTCAAATCTGAGGAAGAACTTCTTTGGGGTGAGGGTGGCAGAGCCCTGGAAGAGGCTGCCCAGGGAGGGTGTGGAGTCCTCTTCTCTGGAGATCTTCAAGCCCCACCTGGATGCTCCTGAGTGATGTGCTATAGGCAGTCTTTCCCTGGCTGGGGAGTTGGACTAGATGATCTCTAGAAGGTCCTTTCCAACTCCAACAATTCTGTGATTCCTTGACTGGTCAGTGATAATTGCCCAGGACAGAGATTGGTGTCTGGCTGCAGCCGTGAGAGTTCCCTTGGCCAGAGTTGAAGACTGGGAGTGGAGATCCTCCCTCTTCTCCTGTTCACACCAGGCAGAACTCATCAGGTGCCACAACAGGACACGTTCCTCTCCCCTCTGCTGCGATGGTGACTTGCAGCAGAAGGGATGAGAGGCTCAGAAGGTGAGGGTTAAACACAGGGCAGGGAAATGGCTTAAGGCTCTGCTCCTCCTTCTTACCTGACTCAGCAGCACTAAAACTGCCACGATGGGAGCCCACACCCACTCTTCCCATTCAGACTCTTGGTGGGAGAGCTCAGACATGAGCCCACACGGCCCCTGCCTGCAGCCATCAGGCACCCAGTGCTCTGACACGTGTGGTGTCCCCTGCCACGAGGGCACACAGATCTGGTTTCTCTCTTTTCCTCAGCCTGGTACATCCATCAGCCCATCAGCCCTTGTCCCGCTGCTGATTCGCAGTCTCTGCATTAGCAGAGCTTCAAACACGAGTTTTATCCTTGAATAATTGATTGTGTTTCTGTTTGCAAGTGAGCAGAGAGAGCAGATCTGTCTCCTGAAATTAAATCAGGGCTCCCTCATTTTCTGCATCTGCACTACTTTACTTAAGCTTCAGATTTCCAGAGCTGGGGAAATCCCAGGATAACAGCTCTCTCCTGTCCTCTAGTACCTCTTAGGCCAATTCCCACCCCATTTAGCATCCCCATCACAGAGTGTGTTGCTGTGGATAATGTCAGCAACAAAACAGTGTGGAGCATCTTCGGCTGTTACCGGTTTCAGGACCTCACCACACCAGAATATGAAATTTCTGCCCCTTTCCCTGCCTCAGTTTCCCCACCTTGTGTTAAAGGTGAGGCAGGGCTGTGTTTCGCAGGTCTCAGTCACTCTCTGGAAGGCTTCCTGGAGCTGCTGTTCCATACATCTTGCTGCCCTGTCTGGCTCTATTTATAGATGTCAGCCAACTCCAAAAGCAGGTGGCTCTTCTTGCCACGGGCATTTGAGGGCTACCTACGAACTCCAGCGGGCTCACCAGCCACCTGGTCTCACAGCCCCCAGCTTAGGATCCCAGAGAGTCTTTTTATAGCTCGGTTTGCCCTGTCAGTGCCAAGCTTCTTCCCTGCTGTGAGAGGAGACGGTGCAGATGGGGTCTTCTGGAGGCTGCAAAGTCTGCTTTGGCTTCTTCATATTCCTCTCTGCTCTGCTGTCAGCTCCCTCCAGCCTGGGAGGATGAGGTGTTTCTCTGCTAGCTCTGATGTACACAGAAATATGGAGCCATAGAGAGAAGCATAATTCAGTGCAGGGACTGTCACCATCTTCTCCTGCACCTTTGGAAAGTGGGTGCCACAGTCACCTGAGCAATAGCAGAAATTCCCTCCTTTGAGCCTGAGAAACACTGTCCCAATGGCACCTGGTGTCCTAATTCAAGGTATAGAGGCTGGGCTTCTGACTGAACCCAGGTTCTGGCAGCTCTGTGCTTAGAGTTTATTAATTCTTTCCAATGCTCTGAGAACCAGCAGGAAAATCCTATTAAGAATTTGGCAAAAACCCTGAAAGGGGCAGATTGAGCGGCGGGAGCGTTGTGCAGCGCCGTGGGATCTGGGTTACGGGCTCTCACGTCGCTGGCATTTCTCTGGGGGGAAGCTGAGGGCCAGAGAATTCCCTGCCTCGAGCCAGGAGGGAGGAATAGCTGGTGCTTACAAGCTGCGAGCCCACCTGCTCGGGGTGTCTGTGCCCTGGGATCGCTGCCCCAGCGTGGCACGGGGACAGGGAAAGGGAGGACGTGACAGCAGGGCAGCTGCTGGCAGAGCAAGGCGCTGGCCTCCCTGTCCAAGAGAGGTGTCTACAGAGCTCCCAAAGCCATCGCTGTGCCATAACGGGTGCTGCTGAGCCATCTGGGAGGATCTTTGCCACCCCTTGTCATGTAGACAAGCACTGCCCAAGAGTTAGGACTAAAAACCAGTGTCTCACGGGAGCGCAGGGACTCAGAACTCCTCTGAACTCGGGCTGTGGATGGGTTTGCAGAGACCTTGTTGGCCATACGTGGCCTGTCTTCACTGCTGTGTTATAACCACCTCTTCCTCACCTCCAGGTACTTCCCAGCCCCATCATCAGCTCCAATGGGCCAGGAGAAGATAAACTATTCCGGAGCCAAAGCGCCGATGTGGAGATAACAACGGAGAAGGAGCGGCTGAAGAAGATGCTTTCGGAAGGGTGAGGCTGCCACAAGTGCTCTCTGCTCCCAGCTCCTAAACTCCTAGAATTCTGGCAGGATTTGGTGCATGTCCCTGTCATCCCAAGTGCTTTTGAGCCAAGGCTATTTCTTTTTAGGTAGCTGAGTAATGCCCCATGTTCACCGCTGCTCAAACCCTCCACGTTACCAATTTCCCCTCTTCCCAATGGAAAATTATTCCAGCCCGGAGGTGAAATCTGCAGTTGAGGCAGTGTGGGAAGGAGCCTGCTCTGTGTCTGCAGCCCGGATGAGCTGATGCCACTTATCTACAGATCAGTAGTTTGTGATACCAGAAGATGTTCACACTTTTCCAGCTGGCCCAGGGGCTGTGTTTGTGTTAATTCCCCTGATGATTCCAGCAAAGTCCCTGCTGTTTCCGGTCTTTGTCTGTTCAAAAGACTCTGGGGCTGGATTCTGCCCTGGGGCTCCCTGTCGAGCTCCCAGCTGAACACTTAGAATATTTTTAAATCAAAAGCAAGTGTCCTTTGCTACCTTTCTCCCGGGTCTGGGGTGGTAGGGTTTTATTCAAAGCAAACTCGGATCTAACAAAGATTTTTAAAAATGGATCCTCAGTCCCACATTGCAAAGCTCCTTTATAGTAGCTGTATCTCCCCCACCCTCCCCCACCCCATTAATCTTCCAGTGTGGCTTCTGCGGTTTCAAGCAAGCACACATGGCCTCAAAGTCAAATATTATGCAGGGATAAAGGAGAGAGATGCAGATTCATGGCTGGAAGAAGAGGCATTTCAATTTGAGAAGAGATATGAAAGCCAAACAGAAAACTGTGGAGGAGCAGGGAGCTGCTCAGCACTTCCAAGAGCATTATTTCAGTACATGTCAGCGCTGGGGGAAGAAACCTTCACGCTGAGACCCTCGTATGCTCTTGCAAATGCTTCCCCTGTTGTCCCTCACAGTTCGGTGAGCGAGGTCCAGTGGGAAGCCGAGTTCTTCAGCCTCCAGGACAACAACAACAAGCTGGTGGCTGCTCTCCACGAAGCCAACGCCAACGTGGACCAGTGGAAGAAGCAGCTGACTGCTTACCAGGAGGAGACGGAGTCGCTGCGGCAGCGGGTGAGCAGGGGAGGGCCATCACGGAGGGGGTCAGAGGAAGCCCCATCCCAGAGCCAGATGGTGCCCTTGACCCCGTTCTCCCCATCGGTTTCCACCATCAGCAGGAGATGGGATGGAAATCCAGGATGCTGCGTGAGCCTGGCAGGGAAAACATGTCAAGGAATAAGGCCACGTAACAAGGGAGTGCTTGCAAGATCTCCTGTCTTCTGCAGAGGGAGTTGGGGGTGTGCTGAGTCCCCGTGGATAAAGGGAGGAAACCAGAGCACAAAGTCAAAGAACACCAGCTTCCCTTCAGGTTTTCTGGGGGTAATTTCCAGCTGCCAACAATACAGAGTGTGGCCTGTGGCCCCCTCCTCCTCCCTGAGCTAGGCATCAGGGCAATCTGCCTGCTGACAGGAAGGATGAGGATCGCTCTATCTGCTATAATTAGCTCCAATCCAAGCTGCAACATGATGAAACCCGGGCGGCGCAGTACAAACAAGCCCTTGTTCGGTTGGAATAATAGGATCTTTTGACCCACGTAGTGTCAGAGAAGCCACAGATCAACTGTGTGCATCTGGGCAAGGGAGTGACAGTCACACGGTTGGGTCTGTTGGGAGGGAAGAGTTGGGGAAGATTTGGGGAAAGGGTTTTAGGGCAGCTGGGGTTTGGCTGGGAGAGGACTCTGGAGCCCTGGAGAAGGCGGCAGAAAGCCATTTCGCTTCGAGATAGCTCATTTGAAAGACAGCAGGGATTTATAGCAATTAACAGCTGTTTCCACTTGATGGCTGTTGTGTGGCCAGGCTGTGCAGCAAACAGCCATCCCCCAGGACTCGCCGTGCCCGTTGCTAATTCTCTGGGCTAGAGTCAGACAGGAAAAGAGCTGCACAGAACAAATTTTCTCTTCTGCAGCAGGAGCCTGCCTTAGGAATAGCAGAGATCTTGGTTGGCGGGGGGTGTTTAAGTGTGGGTTTTGGGGCTGAGGGGATCGGGCTGCTCTTCCCCTTTGGTGACTCTTTGGTGGCTGTTCTCACAGCCAGGAGGTGGAAGCAAGGATTTCATGAGCGTTGGTTGAAGGGCAACCCCTGGGGCCTTCTCAGAATCACAGGAGAAGCTAACTCAGCGAAACATCTAGATTACTGTCCCTAAATTGGAACATTTTGGCACCAGAGCTGGTTGATTCTGCCTGAGGCCAAATCCAGCCAGTGGGAAGGTGTCACTTGGGGTCTGAGCCCTGTCTACGTGGGGTTTCTCATCACTTGTAGAGCTCAGGGGAGAGCTTGGGCCCCTGCTGCAGACCTTCTGATGAGCCTTTTAAAAATGAATCCTCTTCATGAATAATCGAAGCCACTGGGCTGCATTTTTCAGGAAGGGGGAGCACGCTTGGGCAAACCCTTCCTCCCAGCTCTGCTGTGGTTGGGCTGCGGTGACTCCCTGGCTGATCTCTGCCCAGGGAGCTGGATCATGCCACTACTTTGGGTTGTAGGCTCATGTGCTTGATGTCAGCAGGTTGAGCTTCAATGGAAGTGCAGGAGGAAGCAGAGACAGAGTCTTTGGACCGGGTTTCACTGCAGCGTGTTTCTGTGTGTGATCCAGGCAGAGCAGGAGGAGGGAATTTTTTTTCCTCGCAGCCCCAGGGTGGGAGCTGCTCTCCTGGTGTAAGCCTGCTTGGGTTTGCAAGGAAGCCAAAACAAGACAGGGAATGGCTGTGGGTGATAAGGCCTCAGGACATTCCTCTCTCTGAGCTCACCTCCCTGTGCTTGCCTCTGTGTAGGTAGCAGAACTGGAGTCACAGGGGGCTCATGATTCCTCCAGCGAGAACAACAAGGAAGAGCTGAACCAAACCCTGGAGGAGCTGGAACTGCTGATCAAGGCTAAAGATGAGGTGATGCCCCACAAAGCAGAGCAAAGCCTGAAGCTGGGTGGCCTGTCGGTCACCACCACCCTCTCTGGCATTGCAGCCTGTACAAGATCAGACTGGTGCTGTTGCACGTGCTGCCTGTGCAAGGCAGGAGCCTCCCCTAAACCAGTGCAGCCCCCTCGGTGCTTTCCCTCCCCAGAGAAACAAATCTGAGCGAGGGTGAAGTTCTGGGAGTTTCCTGAGCAAATAGCCTTGAGTGGAGAATCTCAGCCCTGGTGCAAATGGCAGGGCTGTGTCTTATCCCTTCCCCTCTCTCCCAGCTGCAGCTGCAGTTCCCCTCTAGTGTAGGAATTGCTTCTCGCTTTCGCTGCATTTAAATAAATGATTTAAAGCAGAGTTTTAATTACAGAGGCTGCGAAGGAGGGGAGGTGTGGAGAGACTCTGCGATTTGCACATCTGCAGGCTCTCTGCTGGCTGGGCTTTGGCAGGGTGGGGGGATGGAGCACCGAGGGGGGGAGCCACAAAGGAGGGTTTGGGGAAGGAAGGTGTTTTTGGGTTCCTGATCCTTAATGAGAAGAGATCTGTCCCCGGGAAAACACTGGGGCAAAGGTGTGCAGAGGCTTTCAGCCTAGCAAATACCCTGGCCCCAAGAGCCTGGAATCTTGAGCAAGGATGCAGCAGGGTGCATCCAAACCTTGCTGGGGATCTTGATGAGGTTCTAACAGCTTAGAGGGAGGCAGCAGATACAGCAGAAGTAGAAGATTGGAAAGGGAGGTAGGAAAATTTTAGAGCTGAGTGTGGTTTTGTGATCCTTGCAGTGAGGGACGGGGCCTTGGTTGGGTACATGGCAGGAGCTGGCCCCACCAGGATTGGGGTGGATCTGATGTCATGCTCTCCCTCCTTGTTTTTTTAGGAGATTCAGATGCTGAAGAGCCAGAAGTGTGGCCGATGGGAAACAGAGGGCGAGCGTGAGGAGACGCTGCAGAAGCTGCAGGTGAGGATGGCAGATCTGGGGCACTTCTGCGCTCGGAGTAGAGGGATCCATCATCATTTCTCCTTTGAGTCAGAGTGAATGCTGCAGAGCTGCCGTGCCTGTCTCTGCCTCTGGATGATGGGAACAGGTCCTTGTCTACGTCTCTGCCGCCTTCCACCCTCCCTGTATCTTGGAGATGTGACAATCTCCAAGCACAATCAGCAGGCAGTGGCAAACCCAGCCTTCACGTGCTCTCCTCCAGCGCTTGCAGCAGCCCCTGCTGTGGGGCTGGAGCAGGACCCGTGGTGTCCTGTGACTCTCCATCTCTCGGAGGTCCCACTTGGCTTGCTGGGTGGCTGGGGAGCAGAGCTGGGACTCCGTCTGGCTGGCAGGAGGGATGCAAGCTGCTCTGCACCTCCGGGCAAGGAGGCAGATGGAGGCACGATCTGTTGTGTGGTCTCTGGGGGCACTGCCTGCCTGTGTTTCCCTCTGAGCTGCTGAAGGATGTCCTGTGACTCTCCATCTCTTGGAGGTTCTGCTTGGCTTGCTGGGTGGCTGGGGAGCAGAGCTGGGACTCCGTCTGGCTGGCAGGAGGGATGCAAGCTGCTCTGCACCTCCGGGCAAGGAGGCAGATGGAGGCACGATCTGTTGTGTGGTCTCTGGGGGCACTGCCTGCCTGTGTTTCCCTCTGAGCTGCTGAAGGGGGTGGGGATCTGCCCAGGGTTCACCCCCGTGCACAGGTGCTGGCTTTCATGGCAGAATAAAATCTCCAAACATGAAATGTCATCAGACCTAGAGATGATGGGGTGGGGAGATCTGCATTTATAGCACCTTGGCAAACGCTGGGTGGATGCCTGGGTGTGGGGAACACGAGCTCACACGTGTTTGCTGGGTGCTGTGGCTCAAGATAGGGAGGTTCCTGGGTGAAAGAACTGATGGAGACCTGGGCTGGCCGGGTGTGGGGAGCCTGGTGTGGGGCTGGTTTGTGGAGATAAGGGTGGTGGGCCCCGAGCAGCATCTATCAGTGCTGGGGCAGCCACCTCACCCTGCTCGTGTCCTTTGGCAGGAGCTGGAGGCACGCAACGCCGAGCTGGAGCGGCGCCTTCACCTGGCCGAGCAGACGCTGGCAGAGACCTTGGCCGAGAGGGAGAAGATCCAAAATGAGGTCACCAAGGTGGCAGAGATAATGGATGTGAAGATATTTGAGCTCAGCGAGATCCGGCAGGGACTAGCCAAGCTGGTAGAGAGCAACTGAGCAGCAGCAGGCTGAGAGGAGACACCTCCAGAGGAGGGGAGCCCCAGCTGGGACTGGTCACTGACAGCAATTACAGTCACAGAACAGCCTCGAGGTCTGTTTGGGCAGGATATGCCAACGTACCAGCAGCTGCCTGCACGGCGTGGAGACCAGCCGCAGCCACTTACTGCCCGAGGAACACCCGGACAGGGGGCAGAGAGCACCTGAGCTCCTGAATCCTCTACAAGGGAGCACCTACAAGCCACAGCCAGACCTCTCTGGACCCTGCCATGGAGGTGGCATGGTCCAGAGATGGCAACTGTCCCCGTGCTGCCTTCCCAGCCTCCTGCTGCCACACTGTGTCTCCAACCTTTTTACAGTTTTCTAAGGGAAGGGGCTGAGCAGCCTTCGTGGTTTTTTTTCAGTAGTTTTTTAGGAAACCACTTGCCTTTTGCAAATAAGCTGCCTGTTTCCCCACCTAGGGAGGGAGGAGAAGTTCTAGCACACCGAGGACGACACTTGCTCCCTTTTCCTCTTCCCCAGCCCTAACTCCATGGTGTTTTTCTAACAGGATCCAGCAAAGCTGGTCACTGTCAGGAGCTTCCAGAGGTAGCAGAGTCCCCACTGCAGAGGAGGGTGCTTGCCTGCCCGTGTCTCCTTCCCACTGTTCAGTCGCATCCTCCAGAGGAAAAAGAACTGCAGGTTTTAAAGCCTTTATTAGTTTAACACAGTGGGATTTAATGACTTCTGAAAAGTTTAAGCTGAGAAGAGCAGAGGCTTGGTTGGGAAAGGGGCATTTGAGAAATGGGACATCCCCGAGGGGGTGGCCAACAAATTGCTAGATTGGCATCTCTCCTGGCCTCGAAGGGCTGCAGTTAATTGAAATTAAATGGAGCAAGTAGCAGTTGCTCTTGGTTTCTTTTTTTTCTTTTTTTCCTTTTTTTTTTTAATTGGGAAACAGTCCACAGAGATGTCCTGCTCCCTGTCAGCCGAGCAGAATTCCTTCTGAAGGGTACGGGTCCCAGCTTGCCACGCTTGGCCGGATTAAAGGGGAGCAGGAGGCACTGGGAGCGTGCTGGGACCGGTGCCCTGCGGGGGCTGTGGGCGAGTTTGTGAGTTATTGTAGATGTTGTCTAGTGATAGGAACCGAGCAAGGCCTGAGGGAGGCACCACAGAAACCTGGAAAGTTGTGTGTGTGTGTCCCCCCCAGGGTGCCCGCTGTGCCCCCGTAGTTACCTAGGAGCATGCTTAGCCTTGTGCCGAATGACGAAGCAGTGTCTGTGTAGAAGTAGTTAGTAACTTTACAGGAGTGTTGATGGATTTGGATTTCGTTGTTGGTATTTTGCCCTCTTTGCTGCTATAAATTAGGCAAAGACAGCTGTAATCCTGGGAGTGTTTCACGGGGCTGCAGAAACTCCAGTCTGCAGAAACATGGGTCTGCAGGAACCCTCTCTGAGCTCAGCGGAGCTGTGTGAGGGCAGTGGTGGCTCCTCGGGGTCTGCCTCTCCCTTCCCTCACCTGGTGACCACGAGAGGAACCTGCAGCTTCCAGGCACTGCCTGTGAGTCAGGGCAGGGTCAGGTCTGGCACCTTGGGAATCTGCGGGAGATCTGCTGGTGACTCCGTGCTGGATTGTGTCTGGGCAAAGCCCTTCCCTCTCCCAGGGCCGATGAGGAAACATTGGGATTTCCAGACCTGCATAACCAGGGAAGGGCTTTTCTGGTTTGGGGGTGGGGAGTTCTTTTTTGTTGTTTTTTTTTTTTCCCTTTTTGAAGTTCTTTTTTGTTGGATTTTTTTTTTTCCCTTTTTTTGTTTTGTTTGGTTTTTTTTGGTTTTTTTTGCATGAAGTGTTCTCACAACTGTACGGAGCTAGAGCTTCTGTAGTAATATTTGTTTCAGGGTATTTAAGAAGAGAAGGAAGTAACTGGGTGGCAAAAAATTTCTAGGGACTTGTTTACCACCCCGCACCAGTGTTCATATTTTATTCCTACAGGAGCAGCCTTCTTTTGAAATAGAGATCAGCTCCAAGAAAGGTGTGTTTGGTTTGCGTCTCCGTCGCTGTAACACGGGCAGGGAGGAGGGTGGGATTTGGGAGTATGGGAGAAAGTTGAGCAAAAGTTTCTCGTGTCTTCTACTACCACCTTCTCACATTTCTGAGTGGCTGCGGCCCACAAGGTTGGAGCTGGGTCTGGATCCTTAAATTTTGGCAGTGAATTTCGTAGCCCGGTGTCTTGGCCGGTGCCGGTGTTGTGTTGCTCACTGATGGGGGCTGACCAGAGCCACGCCTGGGTGAGTCATCTCTCCCCATGGAGGCCACGCTCACACCAGTTCCCAAGAACTGAGAGGGAGGACTCAATTCAAGCTGCTGCACATCCCAGCAGGACTCTCTCCGGGGTGGGGGAGAGGCAGATGCGAGCTGAGACAGCAGCTCAGACAGCTTCATGGAGCACCATCCTCTCCAGGACCTGGGCCA